GTGAGAGTGTCCGACGCCCAGTCAACATCCGAGAATGTGCGGAGCAGCAGGTTTGAACGTATGATGGGGAGACTGAATTCGACTGTACCTTTGATGTATCGAAGCAGCTTCTTTAACAGAAGAGTGTGAAGAGTTGCCGGATCAAGTATGGTGAATCAAGGGGATCTGCATCAGTAGCATCTTCTGGTAGCGACAGTGAGTGCATTCATTGTGGTCGACGACATACAGATCGGTGTTACTTATTGACGGGATAATGTTTTCACTGTGGACATCAAGGACATAGAGCAGCAATTTGTCCTCAGAAAGGATTTGGAGGAAGATTTGATTCGGGTACATGACAGTTTGGACATGGACGTACTGTAGGACATAGGATTGTTGGATCAAGAGCATATAGTGAAAGATCAACGAACAGAACAAATGATAGACCTGTCAATGATAGTTAGAGGGAGACCGTTGCGCCACAACCTACTGCACCTACTCCAGTGGTGCCACGTGTATACAGTTTACAACATTATGAAGATCAACGACGACATGAAAGTTCTACTGGTAAGATTATTTTATTTGACTAATTGATTGATTGACATATGATCATGCATAGTGACATGTGATTGAATGAATTGGATGTTGTATGGATTCTGACGAGTTTTGATTTCGATTCTGATTCGATTTGATTTTGATTTGAGTTTTGATTGGACGGATTTGTTTTATATCTATTTTGCATTCGATCCCTTAAGGGAAATGTCGAGGATGACATTTTTCTTAAGGTGGGTAGATTGTAAAACCCTTAAAAAGCTGATTTTTTTTTAGTGTTGTTAGTCCGGACGAACTGAAGAAAATTGTGAAGAAATCTGCCTTGTTCGTCTGGACGAACCTGTAAGGGTCGGGACGAACCGTCGGGACGAATTGAACCCGAGAGTTTCGTCCATGGATGAAATAAATTGGAATTAATTTCGTCTAGAAGTTTTGAGTCCAGAGGAGTTCGTCCCGGGACGAATGGTAATCGTCCGGGACGATCCTGTTTGATAAATATCCAATTTGAGATATTTTGGATCATTTTGAAGAGAGAGAAAAGGCAGGAGAGAGAAAGAGAAGGAAAGAGAAAGAAGAGGCTTGTTTTTGGAGGCCGCGGAGCGCTTTTTGTCCGACGACGCAGTTGGAAGATTTGCTTGTCTCGCAGTAAGGACTCCGAATCCTATTTCTGATTTCGAAGACTTTGAGTTTTGATAATTTTGTGCTCAGTTTTATGTTTCCGTTACCGAATAACGCGCATAATTTTGTGTTGACGGAAGTTTTACCGTACAACTTTTGATATGTTTCTGATATGATATTTTTACACGATTTGAGTATTTTCTGTAAAATTTCTACCGATTATTTTGAGTTCTGTGCAATTTTTATCGAATATAAAATTATCAGGATGTTGAAAAATGTTGCTTCAGTACGATAAAAGTCTTATATTGTTGTTTTCCATGATATGTGGTAATTTGGTAAATTTCTGAATCTGTGATTTCTGTGTACATTCCGTGTACTGCCGTTATGCCGCCGATTTCTCGTACGACATCTGATTTTCTGAATTGATGATTTGAATGATTGAATATGTATACGAATGTGAAAATATGATTGAATTATTGTTATTGTTACTGAAAGATAAGTGCAGACTGGTTGAACCGTTGGTTGGAGATTCTTCATCCGACGGGCACAGAGTGATGACTCTTATTGAGCCAATGGATATGGATATGGATATATGGATATTTTGATGTATTTACGGATTTCTACAACAGCACAATGGATTATTAACATTGAAAAACGCCTTAATAGCCAGTGATTGTACTTGTCATGTAATACTATGATATTGTATGGCTTGTGTAAGTACTGTTCTTATGATCTTATTATGGATTTATTGATTACTGTATGCATTTATTTATATCAACGGATTTATTGATTTTATTGATTTTGAATGGATTTATAGATTTTGAATGGATTTATAGATTTATTGATATCGACGGACTTCTTGTATTGATTATTGATTTATTGATTTTGAACGGATTTACTGATGAATGGATTTATAGATTTATTGATATCGACGGACTTCTTGTATTGATTATTGATTTATTGATTTTGAATAGATTTAGTGATGAATGGATTTATAGATTTATTGATATCGACAGATTTAGTGTATTGGATTGATTTCTTGACGAATGGATTTACTGATGGATTTACGGGTTTACTGTTATTGTCGGTTCATTGATGCTGCATATTGTACATGTCACTGTACATATATACTGATATTGATATGGATATTGATATTGTATTGATTCATTGATACTATCGCTTCATTGATATACCGTATTGAACTGCTGCATGTGATTCATTAATCAATATGGAATAGATTTTACTGTATTGATTTGATTGTTTTATATGATTTCATACTGATTGATAGTATTGGCCAGAGATGATTGATTTGATTGATTCCATTGATACGATATTGATTTAACGGTTATTATCGAGACGATGATTTTTCTCTATCGATGTAACTGATCGATTTAACTGAGATTCTTCTGAATATAGATTTTTCTACTGTTTATGGATTCTTACGAGATTTGACATATGTACGATTTATTGAGCTTTATGGATTTCTTCCTACTGTTTATCGATTCTTTTACTGATGATTGTGGATTGTATTGATAATGTATTGATTTCTGATTTTCATATCTACTGCATAGATTCACTGATCATGTGCAACTGACTGTTATGGATTTGATGGACTGACATACATTTTGTTTTAGCACCGTGCTTTGATTTCAGTTGTAGGTTTTAGGTGACCTGCTGGGCTTTTTGAAGCTCATTATATGTGGTTAATATTTTCAGGTCAGGGCATGGGAGAAAGAGATTGAGATTGATCAGGGATCCTCAAGTTTTTGTTCTTTTTGGGTTATAGTGATTCTTTTGTACTCATGACAGGATAGATTTCATTTCATGTGATTATTGTGTAGAACCTGAGTATTATATATGATCTTTTGGGATATGAATAGAATTATAAATTGATGTTTTAAATTATAGAATTTTGTTAAATTGTTTGCTATTGATTGAAGACTATAGATAGCTCTGGTAAATGATTGATGGTTTTAATGGATTGACTGAAATTCTTTCCAAATTAGATCTTGGGACGTTACAGTGCATATGCTGTGAGAGCATATTGACGGCATACGCAATATCAGGACGCGTCAAAGTTAAGTATTGAAGTGATCCGATGATTTGCCTGTAGGTACTTGTGGTGAAGCAAGGTGGATCCTCGGGTGATACCTCTGGCATTTTGTTTGCACACGGATTAGCTACCGAGTTGAATTTTTGCTGCTCGGCGATGCTTATAATTGAAGTAGCGTAAAGAGATTAAGACAGAAAATACTTATCTGGATGACAGTCGATTTTTATGCCTAAGAATGTATTCACGGTGCCGAGATATTTCATAGTGAATTTTGATTTGAGTTGAGCGACGAGTGCAGTCATGGCCTTAACATCATTTCCCGTTATTAGTATATCATCGACATAGACTAACAGGTAAATTTGCGTTTGATTTCTATGGAGGAGTAGAAGCGACGGATCCGCCTGACTGTGTGTGAACCCGAGATGCAGTAGGTATGTTGTAAACGTGGTGTACCATTGGCGAGGGGCCTGCCTTAAGCCATAGATGGCTTTACGCAGACGACAAACATGGTTGGGATGGGATGAATCTTCGAATCCTTTAGGCTGTTTCATGTACACTGTTTGCTCTGATACCATGTAGAAACTCAAGAATCCATGTGAGAACCAAGAAGCTAGAGGAAGAAGATGAACAATAACGTAAGGTGTGAAATGTAAATCTTATTCTGTCTGAAAAGTGCATACATGAGGCCATTAAATAATAGCTAGCTAGTAATAGGTGACACGTGTCACCCTTACATAGGTAGACAAGAACAATTTAGATTATTTGATTTACATAGGTTTAGCACTCTTAATACTAATTTGAATGAACAATCATCAAATAAAAAAGATACGGCGTTAACTCCCACTAACCGCAAGGAACTTCGAAATAGATAGTTAGCTATAGTATAATCAACCAAGAGATCAACAACAAGATTTCACAATTATACTTTTATCATATACGTATCATTTGATAAAGATGATTTTCCATTTTATCGAGAATTTGTGCTTGACATTTTTCCCAAGTACAACTTCATCTAAAATAATATTCTCAACATCATCACATGCAGGTGCAATAGAAACAACAAGCTCAATGAAAGTAGTAGTTGTAGTAGAAATCCCACCTTAAGCTTTAGTCACAATTTGGAGAAAAATCAAGAAATCCGCTAGCAACAACGTCATGTAAGTTACAGTTTTTTCTTTTAACAAAGTTACTCTATCCCATCCGGTTTGATTGCATCGCACCACTTTGATCAGCTCCGAAAAAGAAGACCTAGAATCCGAAGAGAGCAAGAGGCTTAACGACTTACGCTAGCCGAGATTATTGCATCTCTTATTCTTTAGTTTATTATTACAATAGGTTTAGCTCTTGAAGTTTTTTTTTTCCCTTTTTTTTCTTCTTTTCTGTGTAAAAATTTTTTGATCTCCTACAAATTTTTCTATACATGATAGATTTTTAAAAAAATCAAAATATTAAATACCAACTCAATCGTCATAGAAACCAAATCATTCAAATTGATTTAAAAAATATAAAGATCAAACATATTTTAAATCTTATGCATTGGCAGTTAAAATGAGCATATTGTCTGCATAACTTCAAAGAAATATAAGATTCTGTGAATCCAAATTCATTAGGGCAAAAAAACTAGTGAGAACATCAAAACTAGTGTCAGTTTTCTTAACCAACGCCGGCGGATCACCAGACAAGCCAACGGCAAATCAGCAATCCAGTTAAGCGGTCAACGGGGCCACGAAATTAAGCTTCCCGCACTACATTTTTCCACGTACCAGTTTCGCTGAGCGTCGGTGAGAACCTGATCTCCTCCCATGAAATAGCACATAAAGAACAACCCTAAACCCGGCGCAAAACACCCAAAGATGCTTCCTTTTCAGGAGCAGATCATCGCCGACCTCCTCGAAGACCCCAACGGAGGCGTTGTCGTCCTCTCCTCCGGCCTCCCCATCCACTCCCTCGTCGCTTCCCTCCTTCTCCTCCACCACCCCTCCCAAGGCTCCCTCCTCATCCTCTCCGCTTCCGACTCCCAGAAATCCTCCATCTCCCGCTCCCTCCTTCGCCTCCTCCAAAACGATAACCCTAACCCTAACCCATTACTCCCAACCGACATCCCTGGTGACGTTCTGTCCCACCACCGCACCGCTCTCTACGCCAGCGGCGCCTCTTACTTCGTCACGCCTCGCGTCCTCATTGCCGACCTCCTCACATCTCGTGTCCCGCCCTCCTCAATTGCCGGTATCCTCATCATCAACGCCCACCGCCTCACCGATACCTCCACGGAGGCCTTCATTGCCCGCATCCTGCGTTCTCTATCCCGCAACGCTTATGTTCGTGCACTTACCGACCGTCCTCACGCCATGGTCTCCGGGTTTTCCAAGGCTGAACGAATCATGAAGTGCTTGTACGTGAGGCGGCTCCATCTCTGGCCGCGCTTCCATGTTCTTGTCTCTGGGGACCTCGAGCAGAGTCCGCCGGAGGTGGTGGATATCAGGGTGCCGATGACGCCTGCAATGAGGGGGATTCAGCAGGCTGTGTTGGAGACGATGGATGCTTGTCTCAAGGAGCTCAGAAGGACTAACAAGGTCGATGTCGAGGATCTTACGGTGGAGAATGGGCTATTCAAGTCATTTGATGAGGTTGTGAGGAGGCAGCTTGATCCCATATGGCATACGCTTGGGAAGAAAACCAAGCAGTTGGTCAGTGATTTAAGAACACTGAGGAAATTGTTGGATTATCTTGTCAGGTACCTTCTTTATCTGATAAAGCAGCCTGAAAAAATGGAATTTTCGTTGGAGTGGACTGGATTGCTATTTGATTTAGATTAATAATCTCACACCAAACGACATCCACATATATGAGTTATGTATTGTTTTTGATCATTCTTTAATTGATATTCATAAACTAAAAAAGTAAAATAAAAATTTGGGTAAATTAAGTTGGGGTCATTGCTTGTAAGTTGAATGAATTTAAACTAGCATTTTGTTAAGAAATAATATATTCTTTTGGATTTATAGATAGTACAACAACAATGTCAAAAATGGGTGAACAATTCAAAAAATCAAAATCAAGATAATAAAATATTTAAAATCTATCATAGAAAAAGAAGGAAGCAAAATTTTCAAAGATTAAGAGCACTATCATAATCGGTGGCTACAACAACTATTGGTTTAATTTATTTTATCGTTAAACCGTTCTCAAATCAGTTTTTAGCTCTTTTATTTTACTTGTATTAAACCAGCTGGTTTGAATATCTATTAAACCTCTATAAATAGATCCCAAATGCCATAATTAAATTCAAGAATAAAATTTTGAGTTCCTCTTTCTTTCTCCTATCCTCTTATGGAGTCCACACCTACTCAAAAATATCTTTTCCCTCTTAATTTATCAAGAATCTTAAGCTTCTCGATCTACATCAAGAAGGATAAGACATCTTTTGAGTAGGTGTAGACTCTTTAAGGAAGAAGAAGAGGAACAAGATTGAGTAGAAAAGTGAGAAAATAAAAAAATTATTTCTTGAATTTTATTATTATTATTTTATTTATTTCTTGAATTCAATTACAACATTTGAGCTCTATTTATAGAGGTTTATATGAACCGGTTTTGGGTTTAGTTGAGGTTCAAAACAATTAGTTCAATACAAGTAAAATAAAAGAACTAAAATAGGTTTGAGATCGGCTTAATATTGAAAAAAAATGAACCACGAGCTGTTTATAGCCGGCTAGTTGTTGTAGTACTCCCAAGCTTTGAAAGATTTGTTTCCTTCTTCTTCTATGATAGACTTTAAATATTTTATTATGTTGATTTAATTTTTTCGAATTGTTTATTCATTCTTGACATTGTTGTTGTACTGTCTTTGAATACAAAAGAATATATTATTGCTTAACACATCACTCCTTTGATTATTGTTTTTTCCGATTGTGATGCTAGTTATTTTCATCAACACTTCCGATTATACTCATTTGGAATCATTTGCTATTTGTTTTTGGAGAAGGTATGATGCTGTGACATATTTGAAGTATCTTGATACACTGAGGGTCTCTGAAGGAGTGAGGTCGGTTTGGATATTTGCTGAATCAAGTTACAAGATATTTGAGCTTGCGAAGAAGCGGGTTTATCAGGTGTTGCGGGCGGATGGAGTAAGAATCATTGCTAACAAGAAGAACAACGTAGTCAAGAGGAAGAGAGTTGATGAGAATAGTTTGATAAAGAACATGGAAAATGGTAGGTGTAAGCAGTTGTCATATTCTTTTACATTATGTGATAATTTTGTTCTAAAAGGCCGAATCACATAGAAAATGGAACTTGAACTTGATTTTTATTTGCTTCAAGAAGATTGATATATGAGTTTTGGTTTTCGAAATGATAGATGGACTCCAATTAGAAAATTCTTCTCTTTCAAATAAGATGGATAATGCCACAATGGAAGCGAATGTTGGAATTGTCTTAGAGGAAGTCTTGGAGGAAGCACCTAAATGGAAGGTGTTACGTGTGAGTGAGTGAGTTTCCATGTCTTTTCTTTTCAAGCTGCAGATTTTGGTTTCTTGTGCAATATGCAAAGTTCAACATGGTTGCTTCATGATTAATTGCAGGAGTTGCTTGAGGAGATAGAAGTAGAACGCAGAAAGGAAGATTCATTAAAAGATGAACAAAATTTTGCTGATAATGGAGGTGACAATAATGATATTGTCTTGGTTGTCTGTAAAGATGAGCGTTCATGCTTGCAGTTGGAGGACTGCATCATTAAAAACTCACATCAGGTAGTTTTGTTGCTTCTGTGAGGAAAAATCAAGTTTGGAAAATCCACATTGGTATGATAGGCAATATGTTCTTTATTGTATTTTTGAACATATTTGCCCTTTCTTAAAGAACAACCCATTCCACTGTTGCCTATTTCTGTCTATATCTGCTGATTATTGCCTGGGTTACTGATAAAGTATTATTGAAGAACTTGAGCTGTTTGGTTATCTATTGACAGTTTGACACTGTATTGACTGGGCAAATGTGGTATATATGTTAAGCTTCCTTTGTACTCCTTTCTGCACTTTATAAGCCTGTTTGAACAGCTATATAAATGCGCGCACACATATATAGTGGATTAACTATTTGTCTTTTTTATATGGCATGTGATGTTACAGTCCTAAAAGGGCTTTTACCTTGCTATTGATATTTCTTTTAAATTTTTGGTAGAATTGCTACTTTGAAATCAGTAAGGTTCTGTTTGGTAATGTTATGATGTTTTTTTTTTAATTGTATTATTTGATATGAGAAAATACTACTATTGTTCTTGAAAAGTGTATTTCAAGTTGAAGTTGCTCGAAAGTGTATTTCCTATTGTTGACAAGCCATAAAGGAGGTACTTGTACAATATAGCAATTTGTAGCACATGCTTTCCCAAAAAAAAAAAAAAAATCAAAGTTGTGATATGTCAGATTTTTGAAAAGCAAAACAGCTGAAAAACATCACCAAATTGCACCTTAATGCCATTTGGTATCAAGCAAAAAACTTTGAAAATTTTAATGGTCACTTTGGAGGCTTCAGAAATTTGTCTTACTTTTAATGTATAACTTTTTTATCAATCTTTGTTTTTCTTAGGATAAGTATATAGAGTTCATTATATCTTAATTTATCATTCATGCAAAAAAGGACCTTAACTTGTTGCTTTATCCTTTTAATTTATACCTTCTTTTGAAGTCCATTATTTTCAAATCATTTTCTTTCGAAGCTAACTATTTTTCCTCTTTAAAGAAGATTAAGAATCCCTCCCTAAACAATCCATTACTTTTTATACAGCAGTTGTAGATATTGTGCCCGTGAACTGAAACTGATTTTTATTGCCTGTTGTTCTTTCTGAATCCGAATAGGTTATAATTGGATAGCTTGTTATTGATGTGCCAAAGCTATGCTTATAGTTATAGGTTATAGCCAAAGTCGATATGTTTAGTATTCCAATGAATTTGGTTCTTTTGTAGTATTGTGGCTTTTGTTTTTATTTAAGCATTCTATTATCAAATTAATGTAGACAGCAAAAGAAGGTATTTTGTGAAGGATAAACTGAAACTGATTATTACTGAAAACAATCTAGCAAAAGAAGGTATTTTTTTCTTATGTTTTTCTTAGGTATTGTGGACTCCTCAGATTAATTTTGATCTAAAATTTTGATTTTAGGTAATGCGACAAGAGTGGGAGAAGTATTTATTTGGCAAGGCAGAATTGCATAGCCTGCAGAAACGTAATAAGAAAAGATCTCAAGATCCTAAAGGATATGGCGTTCTTGATGGAGCAGTTGCTAGTGGATCCGGCGAGAATTCCGATCCAAGCACCATTAGCAAACTGGAAAATGATGCATTGTTAGCTGCAGCATCAGAGATAAGCCATCTTGCTAAAGAAGAAATTGCTGTTAGGAATGAATCTCAACCACTTTCTGGAAGGCGGGGTTCTGCCAAAAGAAGATGCAGAGGTAGGTCTCAGAAAGCAACAATTAAAGCACGGGATTCTCGAAATAATCGCAAGAAATCAGCACATAAGGATGAAACAGTAAAAGCAAGTTCAGAAGCCACAGAACCAGAAGCCCGATCGGCTGTTCTGGAAAATGATCTCATTGACTCATGTATCGGTGACTCTGATAAAAGCTTTCTTCAAAGGCATTCCCATGATTCTGGTGGTTCAGAGTCCAGTGATGCCAGGCCAATTCCTCCAGTACAGTTTTATGCTTTAGAGAAGGATGAACAGATACTTGATATCTGGAAACCTAGTGTTATTATTGTTTTTCATCCAGACATGACATTTGTGAGAGAGATTGAAGTCTATAAAGCAGAGAACCCCTCACTAAATTTGAAAGTTTATTTTATCTTCTATGAAAACTCTACTGAGGTGCAGAAATTTGAAGCAAGCATACGGCGAGAAAATGGAGCTTTTGAATCCTTGATTAGGCAGAAGTCTTTGTTGATGATACCTGTCGACCAGGTTTGATTTTCTAATGTGCTGATCTATTTGATTTGTATTAGATTTGGTGGGCTTATTTTCAGGTTTCAAGTCAATCATGAAGTTCTTGCTCTTTGTTTAACAATTTATTTTAATAAGTTTGGCCCAAATCTAAATATGCTATTGTTCAATCCATGGTGACAAAGTAGTTTCCTTTTTTTAGACAAAAGAGATGACTATTTGTCTTGTTTATTAAGACACCTAGAATTTGTTGACCTTTCTAGGTGATTTGAACTATTATTGGTTTTCTAGAATGATCCATGTTTTTGACTGAAATTTGTAGGCGTGTGCATATTGTGGAAGTATGTTGTCCTTAAATTTTCAACTTTTCTTTTAATGATTGTGCATCTTTCTATTTCATTGCGTTTTGGTGTCTTCACAAGCTTCTACAGCAGTTGATTTGTTGAATGCCTTATCATTTGTAGTGCTATGAATTGTTACACACCTCATAAATTAAGCTCCTGTTTGCCTAGAAAAAAGTGCCAGGTTGGATAAATTTTGATCCTGTAAAGGATCCAAGGGCTCGTTTGGTTGATTCAAGTTGGACTCCATTAGTTAGATATAGTTAGGACCAGTATAGGCTTTAAATTCTACGAACACCTTTAAAATCTATCTAAAATGATAAATTTCATTCCACAAACACAATGAGTGAAAACGAAATCATAATTTTTGAAAGTAATACTGACAAGTAGATGAATGAACCCTGAAAATATCGAGGGTTTTCTTAAATAATCTCCGATAACGGCCTTAGGATTATCCGATTTATAACCTATTTGCTATAAAATTGTAAAAACATCTTGAAATTCTTATAATAAGGAAATATTTGTACAAAATGTGTCCAAAATGTGCATGAATGAATTTTTCTTAAGGTTTCTAGTTAAAAGCTGTGATCCTTAAATTACTTGTAAGAAGTTTCTTAGCGATCCATATAATTCAGTTTACTTAAAGCCATGGGCGGATCCACCCTAGTCTTAGGGTGGGCAAATGCCCACCCTCATTTTTTTTTTTTAATATTTATAGGAGATTTTTTAGAATATTTTGAGTATTTTAGGCATTTTGCCCCCCCCTCAAAAATATTTTTTGTCCTAATTTTATCAATCCTAGGCATTTTTGTCCATCCCCACAAAAAAATTTTTTTTTTGCCCACCCTGAAAAAAGAAGCTGGATCCGCCCCGCTTAAAGCTTCTACTACCATGTCATCTTATTATAGAGGCATTCTTTCAGAAATTAATTCCTCTATTTCCAAATTGCCGAAGGAACTACTTTTCATTTAAATTTTGCTACAAGTGATCTAAATATATATATCCAAGATTCTTCTATTTTTCCATCAACTGAATGTTCTTGTCTATGCTAAACTTTAGTTAAAACGTTTAATTGTTATAAGTTTACTACACTTTTTTTTAATTTTTTGTTTGTGATATCCCCTTTTCTCTTTTTTTTTTTTACATTTTTTTCATTCTGGTCATTTACAATCTATGTCGTGGACATTGCAGTTTACTTGATGGATGTTCTGTGTATGATCTTTTTTTTTTTTGTATTTATGATTCATGGAAAATGTTTTGCAGAGCGTAGCTTTTACTCTTTTTGCATAAATATGTTGTGAGCAGGATGGACGATGCATTGGACCCACATCTCTTTGTGAGCCAAGCTCGGTTGTTCCACAGAACTCATTAACTAGGAAGGCAGGTGGTAGGAAGACAATGGAGAAAGAGATGCAGGTAGCGCTTATGGATCCAGTTAAGGCCTCGTTTGTATTTCTGCCGATCTGAAAAGAAAAAAATTTCTGCTTACCCGTTTTAATACCTCCGTTTAAAAAAAAAAAAGGAGTCGGGGAACCAAACGAGACCTAAATCAATCATTTTGAACGGCACATCAGTTAAGTCTTAATTTTTTTATTTTCTTGAATCTGGCTCTATTTTAGGTGATTGTGGATATGAGGGAGTTCATGAGCAGCCTTCCAAATGTTCTTCATCAGAAAGGCATGAAAATCATACCTGTTACCCTGGAAGTTGGTGATTATGTCCTTTCACCCTTTATTTGTGTTGAAAGGAAGAGTGTTGGTGATTTGTATCAAAGTTTTGCATCAGGCCGGCTGTATCATCAGGTGGAAACAATGATTCGCTACTACAAAATACCTGTTCTTCTGATTGAATTTTCTCAGGATAGAAGCTTTTCTTTTCAGGTATAAGTAATGAGACTATCCTGTATCAGTTCCTGCTTATTATCCATGTAATTCTATCTGATTTGGAACACTATATTTTACAACATGCTCAAACCTGCTAGCTATGAGTTATCAAGGACTTGAGTGATCCTTGATTTTCTTCAAATGCACTAACTAGTTAACTGTTTATTGCAGTCTTCCAGTGACCTAGGCGATGATGTTTCACCAACAAGCATAATATCAAAACTTTCATTGCTCGTCTTACATTTTCCGCGACTGCGTCTGGTTTGGTCACGAAGTGTGCATGCAACAGCAGAAATTTTTGCATCCCTCAAGGCGAACCAGGATGAACCAGATGACAACAAGGCTATCAGAGTAGGAGTTCCTTCAGAGGATGGCACTGTGGAAGACGACGTAAGGTAAAGGCTGGTTGTTTAGGCTATAGTAGTTTTTATTCATGTAGAATTTCATGTTACTTTTGAATCTTCTTGACACTCATTCATATTATTTTAGATATGCATTCTGGAATAAAGATTATGTGTGCTCGCTGTTTCTTATTTGCAAAGATGATTTAGATGATGCATTTCTCTGGAATTTAATATGTTCAGGCATTTCTTCTATCTTGGATGCCTCTATTCTATGATTATTGTAGCAAATTTCTATAGTAGAAGAAAATCCTAGCATGACAATGGCAAGTCAGTAGATGTTCTGACTAGCTCGACAAATATCAAGTTTGATGTTTGAAAATACTGCGCGGATTGAAAAATTATAAATGAATTGTTAAATTCCTGCTCTAAAAGGTAGATGTAGATCTAAAAAGACTTGGTTTGAAAGTATTAAAAATAATATTGTTATTAGATCTAAATGAGGCTTTTACCTCTTAATAAAACACAATGGAAAAAAAAAAAATTCATGTAGTTGGCCCAACATAGCGGGATAAATGTTTATTGTTGCTTTGAGATGCATGCAAACACTCTATATATGCATTGAAAAGCGTGCAAGTGTATTGTGCAAATACACCGAAAGCGTGCGGACATATTCTAAGTGTACAAATGCATCGAAGAACATGTAAATGTATTGTTTAAATGCACAAAACAACATGCATGTCATTTAAGAAAGAAGTTTAAATCTACCTTCATATGCTATGATGATCATGTTAAACACTCAAAATTAATATCCAAGAATGCTACTCGGCTAAAATGAAAAAGAGAATTTTAAAATTTCATGTCTAATACTCCTCTTTGAAAGATCATGTTAAACACTCAAATTTTAAGATTTTTGACCATAAATGCAGCTGATCTATGAGGTAATCTTGAAAGTCTGACAAGTATTGAATTTGTAAGTGAATACAAGATTTTGAAAATTGTTAAAAAGAACTTATTTTAAAGTTCATATCAGGCCTTCAAGGCCTCCTTACAAGAAATTCATCCCTTAAAATATAAGCTTAGTTTTCAATACTTGCTTATATGATAATCTCTAAATCATCAGTTGAACCCAATCCTCTATTAACTGACAAATAAAGCTGACAAGGTTCGAACAATGAAATAAAATTATCTAAAACCTTCGATGATGACCGTGTTGAAAGTGAATCTTAACCCAAGGAGACCCTATACCTTTTTAAAATATCTCTAAACCCATTGTAAACACAAATATTTTAAAACGATCTTTAGATCATCCCAATGATGACCGTGTTAAAAGTGAATCTCAATCAGAGGAGACTACTTAATTATTAAAATGCCCTCTCAAAATTTGAAAATTATCATCTAGGGCTTAAATTTCATTTAAAAAGAAATTAACGTCCATCAAAATTTAATTATTTGAAATGAAATTAAACACCAAAAAGCTCAAAGCAAAATTCTATCCACACTTCGCAATAATTTCTCGAGGAAGTTAAATTTGAGATTAACTTTAAGTCACAAAGAGTGAATGTCCTGTCGAGCGTATCGCTAAGATTCATACTCAAATGATTTCTCACTAGCAAGGATGTGACATGTGTCTTCTAATCGGTGGTTTTACCGCTAAGTGACTCCACAAGTAAATGGTTATGACCTAAGCCCTCTGATTGGGTGGTTTTGCTACGAAATTGCATCATTAAATTACGATCACGATCAAAGTTCGTAGATTTCTCAATGGCTCTAAACCCTTCAGTAATGAATCATATGATATATTTGATAGGGAGCAAAACCCTCAGTTAGCTAAGGTTGAATCGAATGTGTCCCATTAGAAAAACGTCCACCCAATGTCTACAAGGTAACCTTGGAGGCTTGGACTGAACAACATATGGCTGTCAACAAGGATATTTCAGTCGACTACCTTCTCTTATTAAGTAGACTAGGACCATGATATCCTGAGACTATGAAACCATGAGATTTTGATCAGACTCGTTATCATTCCTCCCACCACCTGCTTTAAGTATACAATGATAATTTCAAACCATAAAATTTCACAGCCAAAATGAGAATTTTTGGAGCCCACAATTACCATTATTTTTGTTAGACTTCATGAATTTTCATTCTTCACTCATTTTTGTTGAGTGCTACCTAGGTATTAAATTTATTTTTTGTAAATATTTTTTACACTCTAACCCTAGTTGAGATGGGACTTGTTTGCAAGCTTTCTTAAACTACTTTTAATCTCTTGAAGTGAAGCTTTGTGACATTATTAGTTATTCTGATAATCCCAGCCTAACATCTAACTGCATATAGGTTTACTTTTCTCTAGATCGGATCCAACTTCGATACTTCAATGGAATTTTGACAAGGATAACTTATAAATGGTTTCTGATCTTCCTAACAAGAAGAAACCAAGGCTATAATTTTCTTCTCAGTTCAACTTGCATTTCTTTTAATTTACAATGTGATATGCGTAACTATTAATTTTGTATGGAGTGCCTGATTGTCTTTATTTCAACTTTGATTTTGTGTATGCCGAACTGTTTATTTTGTATAGTTCTCACTTGAGGGCTAACGATCGTATTTTTTGTGTTGTATTCTAGAGCTGAAAACTACAATACTGTGGCAATTGAATTCTTGAGGCGTATCCCTGGTGTAACTGATTCAAATTACCGAGCTTTGATGGATGGTTGCAAGAGTCTTGCTGAGCTCTCTCTTCTTCCTGTTGAGAGGCTAGCAGAGCTCATGGGTGGTCAGAAACCGGCAAAAATGTTCAGGGAGTTTCTTGATGCGAAGTGTCCAACTATGCCATGATGCCTAGATCTGGCATTCAAGATACATTTGAAGTGAGGAATATTGATGTATCCTATTTACAGATGACCAAATTTGAGTAGGTGAGACATTTGTCATAAAATTTCAATGGTTGAGTCTATCATATACAATTTTAACAAGATTGAAATTAGTAATTGACCATTTAATATTATTGGAAAATCAAGTAATATATAGATGTAATATGATGAAATATCTTAAACTTGTTTTATAGTAAATTAGATTGTAGTTGAGGATATAATTTTGGGAATTGAGGTTGAGTGGTCTTTATGAATAAGTGTATGAAGAATATAATGTGAGAAGAGAATATCATACAGACTTAAGTTTTGTTTGGGATAATTTTTTTACTGTTTTATAAAATAATTTTTTAGTACAAAATTGTTTGTGGTAAAAAATTATTCCAAACGAAGCCTTAAAATGAGAAATTTTATAAAATTGCAACTATTAAGTTTCTAAAAATTGTGCAAGATGGACACCAAATATGCATGAATGGTAAATGAAGATTCATGAATCTGGTCACAAAGAGACCGGACTAATAATGATAATGATAATAATATATTTTAGTCTTTTACACAGACCAATCAAGTTTGGATTCCCTAGTTTCTCTATAATTCCTCACAACTTCAAAATTATCTAGTTATTTGCTAAGGAGTAAATGATCAGTTGCATTTTGACTATGTCAGGTCGGCTTTATGAATGCTTCATTCTCCTTATTTTAGTTGAAATCAAATTATTGGCTACTAAAAAGGTGTCTGAATTGCAGAAACATAAACATTTGGAAAACAGAACTTTTTTTTTTTTCCTGCTGCAGGGTACTTCAACAATCCACATTCCACGGCAATACCTGTATCAGCTTCACTTAGTTCATGAGAGTTCCAGAATAAAAACTGTTGTCTGTAAAAGCTGATATATATTATTGTTTACTTTAGAGGTTAAGCAGAGTGATTTATTCAGTTATTTGTATTCTTTTGCCATAATCTGCGTATTTTTCTGTGCGGCTTGGCTTTTATATAAAGCATTAGAAGAATAGCTTCTACCTTAGTTATCATGATTATGTTAGGCCGGTTCAAGCTGAACCGGTCCTTGTTGGACCGGTTCATTGATGCAGGAGGCAGGCCCATAGAGGAGGGCGGAACAGGGTTGGGGCCCAATCATTTATTGGAGCAAGGGTTTAGGAGGGAAATTTAATATCTCTTGTGCAGTGTTTGGGCTCCAGTCTTTGACTAGAGATTTGGAGAGTTGAATCTTCCTCTAGAATTGAAGATTCTTGTATCATTTGTTGTTTTTCTTGTTCTTTTGCTGAATTGGAGATTTTATATTGCTGTTTTCTCTATTAAGTTTGGAATTTCTGCATCAACTTTGCTGAATTTTTCTGAAATTTAGCAAATTCCTGCTCTTGTGGTGGCTGTTTTATATCAGATTACTTGGTTTCAGCTTTACGAATTATCCTTATTATTGTGCTTTGTTGAATATTATATCGGTCATCAAGTTTATTTTAGGATTTTTTTAAAGAAAATTTGGTTCGGTTCTACTGATCTACTTGGTATCTGCTTCAGAAATATCTTGTTTATGAAGTTTTCAACACTTTTTTTCTGTTCTTTACTGAATTCGCTGAGAGCCGACTCTTAAATTTTTGGAGCTCATCACTTTCCCGGTTGAGGTCAACCTCAATGTGTGGATTAATTATTCTGTGTGGATGCTGAACTTCATCCGGAGACCAATTAGAATGCGTCACATCACCCCTGTGCTCAGTACCGCAGCTTGGTACCGCTGACATGGCACGTTCTGGTTGATCTTCGGACGACGTTTTGCATTCAGTCTCTGCACAGAATTTCTCCAATGTGTGAGAATGTTGGGATGAGACTTTAGATGGTTCCATTTTTTCTGAGCAATAAGCGAGCAAAAGTTGTATTTCTTCAGAAATTTTCAGTTTTTCCTCCGGTAAGTAATTGTTTTCCAAGGGAAAGGAAGTGAATAGTTAACTGTTACCAAATTTTAATTTTATTTATTTTTCGTTTATTTAAACTCAAATGACTCTTTTCTTCTTCACCTCTACAGATCTCCCTAATGAACATCTCCATCCTTGCTTTCCCTTCCCTATCTTCCTCCATATCCCCCTTTCCCTTTTTTTTGGCTTGAAAATTCTTACTTTAAGGAGGATTTCTGTTCGTTAACTTACAGTAATAGTGATTGCACTCTTGCTTCCTCTGTTTTATGCAAGTATTTTAGCATACTTAAGATTCATGAATTCCCAACTAGGTATCCCACCTCAATTTTCTAACATCTAAACTATTCTTGATTTGGTTTATATTCTTTTTTAAGGCTTCGTTTGGGACGACCTTTTTGCTGCTTTTTAAAGCAATTTTTTCGTACAAAAATTTTAATTCTTGTACTAAAAAGCTATATTAAGAAGCAGAAGAAAACCGTCCCAAACAAAGTCTAAATCTTCTATTCTGCTCGCTACCTTCTAAATAAATCTTAAAATGTCTAATGTACATTCAGCTTCTGGCAATGAAAATGGCAGCAGCTTCCTCATAATAATTATTCAGAAACCAATCAGTTATCATGCAGTTCTGCGAGGTGAATTATTAATTATATAATAAGAATAATATCAAGCCTTTATTTTATTATATGTGGGGTCAGCTATATGAATCTTTTTTATCTATTGTGTCATATTAAGGGTCAAGATCATTTCTAATATTTTCTAAAAAACAATTTTTAGTTCTACCGTTACCTTTCTTATAAGCTAAATTTAATACATAATATAAGATATAAGTGAAAATAGAGTTATTAGAGGCTTTGGAAACATGCATATAAGTGCAGATATAAATAGAAGTGGAGTATAAGAGGGTTCAAGAAACATATACAAGTGGAGATATAAAAAGGAAAATATGAATGTTATGTTATATTATTTCATGTTATGCTACTTATGTTTTGATATCATGCTCAAGTTAGTATTTATGTCATGAAGTTATGTTCATATTATGTTATGTAATGCTACTTCTGTTTTGAAATTTTGTTCAAGTATTATGTATGTTGTTATTGTTAGCTTGGTATGCTTTTACCACCAGTTTTATTCTGATACAAAACTATTAAGCACATTGTTCAATATAAATATTAGGATAGTTCACTTTAAATATGAATTACTATCTATGTATTGTAAAATACTATAAAAGCTTTTTTATGTTACTAGCTTGAGCTCTGAAGTAGTAGGTTTAGATAACATACTGACAAGCGATTTACTCACCATACATATATGTTTGTGTTTTCAGGAAAAGATAAAACCCTAGCTGAGTAGATTCTATTTATAGAGATTGTTGACTAGGTTTGAATTTTGGATTTAGGTATGTTCAGTATGAGTATTCATTTGTCATTTATGAGCATGTCATGTCTTGATGAAAAAGGAAGTTGAAACATGATTGATGTATATCATTTTTTGGAAAGTACAATTTGATTAAATTAGATGAAATAAAATTGATGTTTATATTTGATGTATTAGTTGGCTCGATGTTGTAAATGTTGAAAAAATATTTCCAATTAAGTCTTGGGAAGTATTGGGTCTACTGTTGCAGCCTCAACATTGTGCAACCCATTTCAGGGTAGTGGGTTGTATTGTGTTGAGTTATGACCCATTCACTTGATCAGGTCCTTTCAATCTCCATCGTCCACCAGCTATAGTACTCAAACCTTCGTTGCATGCTGACTTCAATCCTCAAACCACCGTCACTTGTCGACTCTAATCCTTATACCATCATCACCCGATTAGGATCCTCCGACCTTCATCACCCAACCTCTATGGACCTCCGAAAATAATCTTTGAATACGATCCTTAATTATTGTCTCTCGACAATGATCCTTTGACCACCATCATCCAACTACAGTACTCTGAATATCATTGACAAGCTATGATTTTCCAATCGTTGTCACATGACTATGGTATTTCTAAACTCCGTCCTACTACTATCCTCCCAATATCTATTGCTTGTCAATTATGATCCTCGGACCACTATTACCTGACTACAATTCTCAAACTATTTTTACCTGACTAAAATCTTTCGATCTTCGTTGCTTGACCATGACCCTTCCGATCTATGTCTGTCGCTGATTATATTCTTTCGGACTCCATTGCCTATGAACTAGGTCCTATAACCACCATTATTCAACTATGATCTGGTGGCCTACCATCTCTTGATCAGTGTCGCTTGACTCTTCTAATGCCTATCAACCTCATCATCTACTAGCACTGACATGCCAACGCGCACTATCACTTATAATTAGTTAACAACCAGCGTTGATTCACATGGACGACAACTAAATGAACAAAATCTTCCTGCACGGTGCTACCATTTTCCACTTGTAGCGATTGTTACAGCCGGAGCCGAAGTTAGGAGCTCACCAGGAGAGCCAAATCATCTTCGGGAAGGGGACTTCAAAGGAGATAACCGAAAACCAAATCGCAGCCACTGGGTGCGACGAGATCAGCTATGGCTTACGGGAGAAATTGCCGTCGACCGGGGCGGTACTGAGTTTCTTCCGATTGTTGAAGTCGGCTGAGAACTGATCGAGACCTAGAAGAATCTTTATTTGAAAAGAATTCCATAAGAGAATTAGCTCAACTAGGAAGCTTCCGGTGTATTTATGTGACGTGGTACATCTGAATTGGTGTCCGGATTTAATAATTTTACCTCGAGGCAAATTATTACGTCCGGTCATCAGACATCCGGACACCCAATTTAGACTCATCACATCACCCGAATACATTGGGCCCCGGTGTATTTTTGTGATGTGGCGCATCTGGATTAGTGTCCGGACTAATCCGGACACCGAACATAATAATTTTCCCTCGAACAGGGAGTTGAACGATATTTTATTACCGAATAGTGTATGAGGGAGAATTTCAAACGATTATACTTTTAATTATCTCATTAATTACTTAAATATTTTACTACTCATTAATTATTTAATTATTATTTACACTTTTAATTATATAATTAATACTTTCTATTTTAAATTATATTAATTAAGCTAATTATATAATTATTTAATTATTAATAAGTGTACTAATTATTTAATTAAATTATATTATTAATTTATGTACTAATTATTAACTAATTATTTAAGTAATCCACTTAATTATTAAGATTTTAAATTATATTAATGAAATGAAATTAAATTAGATTAATTTCTTGCCGATGGCTCCTCTCTCTATTTGGTCGTCGATGTTCGACTTCGTTGCTTCGCGTGAGGAAAGTTTTTCTCCGGCTGCTGTTCGACTTCGCTGCAACGAGTCGCTTGTTAGTTTCGACGGCTTTCCCTTCCAGTCGGATCGGAAGTCACGACATTTCGACGACGTAATTCCTGTTGGATCGGAAGTAACAGCGGGAGCTCGCTCGCCTGTGAAGGTAACTATCTTTCTCCCCTTGGCGCGCTTCTCCGGCCAAGTCCCGTAAATCCGCCGAATTCCAGGATTTACGGAAAGATGGAAGCGGAGGATTTATTCCGCCGTGAGATTTACCGGGATCTCGTTTAGCAGGATTTAGCATAAATCCTGCTGCCAAACAGCCCCTTACAGTTGAAACTTGGTAAAAACATGAATATTACTGGCATAGTTTCTTACATAGAAAGACAAATGAGGGTCTTCTACTGTTCTTGTCAACTAAGCCGAAAGGTATCATGCGCGGGTTCACATGCAAGTGCTACTAGCTGGATCAATGTGAGATTGTAGTTCTTATGGTTGGATCAAGCATTCTCTCCCTTTATTTTTGCTTCTATTAATGCATTTACTTCTCATCCAGGTTAGCTGCGGAAGATCTTCTATACTTAGTTATGGTTGGCAGCATAGGTTGGTTAGATATCGAAATTTACATTTAAGCTCAAGCTTGCCCCATCTTTCTAGCACTACCCAATCGGTTTTGCCATGGGAAAGCTCTTCATGTGAAAGTCCCCTGAGGAAGCTTGAAGCTGCTTTGGAAGAGAACTGTGTGGATGATGCCTGGGAATTTTTTTGCAGCTACAAATGCTTGCATGGTTTCCCTAAGCAAGTAGTAGTAAAAAAAATGATCAGCTTAATGACCCGCTCAGTAAGTTCTCACTGGCTTCTTAAAGCATATCACTTGGTGCTTTTGGTTCTGTCAAAGAGTCCCTATCTTCTTGACTATGACTCTCTGACCAGACTAGCTCTCATTCTTGCCAGAAGTCAAATGCCTGTTCCTGCCTCCACAATAATCAGAATTGCATTAGATAGATTCAAGTTTCCATCTTTTGATGTACTTAGTACATTGCTTTTTCATTTGGTTAAGTCAGATATTGGAGCATACCTTGCATCTAATATTCTGATTGAGATTTGTGAACGGTCCTTGCATAAGAAGCTTGTATTGAATGTTACAATATTCAACCTTGTATTGAATGCATGCTTAAAGTTTGAGTCTTTCCAAAAGGCTCTGTTAATAATAAAGTGCATGTCGCTTATAGGAGTGGCGGTTGATGCGAATTCAATTATTATCTTTGCTCAAATATATGAGAAGCTTGGGCTGCGTGATGAACTAATGAGATTGAAAGTGCATGTTGATAGTGTTCTTTCCATGGCACTAAGTCGCCATTACTGTCAGTTCTATGATAGCTTGTTGAGCTTGCATTTCAGATATAATGATCTTGGTCTTGCCATGGAGCTTATGTTGGATTTGTATGATCAATCAAAGGACTTCCAATGTGTTGATAGTTTAAATACACTAAAAAATGAGTTGAGAAAACCTTTCTTGCTTCAGATTGGATCAGGCAATCTGACTACGGGATATAAAGTAGTGCTTGAGCCTGATCGGTTGAGGACTGATTTCATTGTGGATTCACAAGGTCAATCTACATTGGTTCTCTTCTCTGATGGAAAGCTTACTCCAAGTACCAAGGCTCTTGCAAAGCTTATAAGTGGCTTTGTTAAAGAAAGAAGATTTGATGAAATTTCAAAGTTTCTAATTGGCATTGAGGGTAAAATCAATTCAAAAGAACGCAGTTTTAGCACACTTGTGTTGGCTGCGTGTATACAGGTGGGTTTGTTGGAGACTGCTCATGATGTTTTAGATGACTTGGAGTCGGTTGGTATTTATGTTGATCCCAGTTTGTACAAATCACTTTTTCAAGCCTACTGGAAGGAAAACCTCTTCGGAGAATCTAAAGTGCTACTGAAACAGATGAGGAAAATTGGCTTATTTGAGAACTTATCGGATGAGGATGCTGCACATTCATGTCTTTCTGGAGATTGTACTGTAAAACCTCTCAGATGTAAAGGAGATTTTTCAGAGAACAAATCATGCTTGGCAGGGCATCTAAGTAAAGAGATCAGGGAAGGGGACTTGGTCTGTCCATTGGTTTATGAGTTTAACAGTACAATTTTGTTCTTTTGCAAGGCCAATATGATGGAAGATGCTATTAGGACTTTGAAGAAGATGCAACAAAAAAACATCCAACCTACAACCCAGACTTTCAGCTATCTATTAAATGGGTATTCTTCATTGAAAATGTATCGCCAAATCACAATATTATGGGGAGAGATTAAGCGAAGATTGGAAGATGGAGTTTTGTCTGTAGACCGGGACTTGTTAGATTGTTTGCTTATGAATTTCCTTAGAGGTGGGTATTTTGAGAGGGTAATGGACATTGTTAGTTATATTACAAGGTATAACATGTTTGCTGACAAGTGGAAATTTAAGGAGGAATTCCTCAAGCTTCACAAAGATCTGTACAGGAATTTAAAAGCTGTACATGCAAAAACAGATGCTCAAAGAAAGAGGCTCGAACATGTTCAAGCCTTTAGGAAATGGGTGAATATTGTTAGAATGTAGGAGAGATTCAGCTATAGATGCTACAAACTTGCTGCTTCAGTGTGGCTTTTGATCATCACCTGATATAGTTTGAGGATTATATGCTAGAAGCTGCAGTATTCCGGTAACTATCATTTGCAGTCCTTCAGTAGTTACTTTCTTTTTCCTTGATTTATGGAGAGTTTATTTTGTGCGGACACCGGACACAACTTACCGTCCAGAGGCGAATCAGGTGCAGCCACATCATCCAGTACAGAGCAGTAATAAGCTCGGTACTAAGCAGTACCGAGCTACGGTCCTGACTAGGGAATGACGTGGCGCATTTTTATTGGGCTTTAGGCGCCGTTCGGCATCCGCACATCATAATTCATCTAATTTATGACACACAATACGAAAATCTTTACTAGTTCCAAGAAAACTTTTGGGAGCCGCTCTATTAACTGAATGCATTTAAGTCTTTAAGAAATAACAGATGTATCCCTTCATCATCTTTGCAGTTAAAACCGCCCTCATGCACCTCATTTGAAGTAAACATGTAGTTATTTTCTGCCAAAATTTGTTAAGTTGAAAACCTAGAAAATATTAACATAAATAATGAGTTAAAACATAACCCCTTTTATTTCTATATATCAGCATTAAATGGGAAATAAAATTTTGAAAAATCAATTTCTGGTTAATTTTGTCCAAATTTTCTATGAGAATGTATCATGCTATGGTCTATTAATTATTTGTCAATTGATGCAATTTAGGGCACAAAGAGATTCAGGTTTCGTTTGGGACGACTTTCTTTCTATTTATTAAAACAGTTTTTTAGTATAAAATTAAAATTTTTATAATAGAAAGCTGTTTTAGAAAGCAGTAAGAAAACCATTCCAAATGAAGCATCAAATATTATGAGAGTAACTTGAGAGCAAAGATGAAGAAGAAATCCACTCAATATGATAGATTTAGGTTTTGTTTGGGACGGCTTATTTAGTGCTTCTTAGAGCAGCTTTCTTGTACACAAATTTTAATTTTTTACTAAAAAATTATTTTAAGAAGCAGTAAGAAAGCTGTCCCAAACAAAATCTTAATTTTCATTCAAGCATCAATTGTCTTTCGTATAGTACTAGGACACCCTTTATATAGAACAATGCCCTCAATATTTAATATGAAAAAAAAGTCTATTTATTGCTTATAAGTTATATCATTAAACATTAAATATAATTAAAACGTGTAGAAATTATATGAACACATGGACAAAAATTAGCGATTGGGATTGTTCCACATCATTTAACCATGATGATCTTGCACCATTTTACATGAAAGAAGCTCCTCTTTGAAGAATTGGTAGGTGGTGGCCATGGTGGTAGTGGAGGCAAAATTAGATCATTAGCATTCAGAAAAGATGAAAAATCGCTCACTTGTGAAATGATTTGGAGGTTGCAGTTCAGCATGCAATATATTTCATGAGTCAAATCAGTAATATGGGCAGGAGTCTCATGTCAGCATAATTGTGGTGAGGGCATGGTACTATGAAGTTAATCTATTAGAATGAGGAAGTCAACATGATAGGATTTGAACATCAAAATTCAGTGAGCAAATAGTGAATTTCAGCAAACCAGTAGATTTTTATTGATAAGAAAAGAAATACAAACAAATAAGATGCAATGGTCCTCTTTCGAGAGTAGGACATTCTCTCCTAAATTCTAGAAGCCGTTAGAATCCCTCACAAAAATAGTGGACATCAAACACTTACTAAAACTCAATCAATGGCATATCCTAAACCCTAGACAAATTTCCTCTTAAATAGCCCTAGAACACCATGACATAAATAAAATATTTCTAATCAGCATAAACATATTTTAGGAAACCATATTAAATAATTAGATCTTCCTAAATAACATAAACATGATTTAGGAAACTTTCCTAATTAAAATATTCCTAAGTAAATCATTCCTAACATACAATAACCATATTTAGGACCTTCCTAATTTCCTCCCAATCAAATCAACACTCTTCCTTAAACAAACCTTCCTACTTTCCTCCCAATCAAATCAACCCTCTTTAAATGTTCTTAATTCGCTTCAAATATTGGTTTTATATGGTAAGTAATTATTGCTCTTTGATCTTCTTGCCAACCACCAACCCCCTATTGGGGGCCATCGGTTTAGCCGGTCTTTCAATACTCCCCTCTCAAAAAGCTACCTTTTCCTCAAGGTGGAAAGATGAGACGCTGGTCATGGCTTTCTTTAGTTGCTCGAAGGCCTGTGTTGTCACTTTGTCCGAATTGAAATTGTCCTTCTTCAACTGCTTCATCTCTATTTTCTTGTTCATCAGTTGGCATCTTGCATCTGCAACAACATTAAATATGTATGGAAGCAAATTCTTATCATCTCCCATTGATTGCAACTGATTCCATCGACCATGACTAGTGAATATCTCGAAGCCTTTCCATACATGGCCAATGCATTTTGAATGACTCAAGTAAAATCTTCACAAATATATTTCATATGTTCATGCATTCGTTACTTAACAGAGAGTAAACATGTCTCATATTCACATGCAGCTTAAAATTATAATATGTCTTGATTGAATTTTACAACTTTATAGGTCATTTGATAAGATAGATTGCTGCAAGCTACGTTATCATATTAATGAACAATGAGGCAACATTATAAGGATTCTATGCTCTAGATAATTTTTGGACAGAGGAATGCAATGTCCACACCAACTACACAGTAACTATTTTTGCAGAGCTGTCATATCTGGAATAGACCATTGATTAGTATAAATCAAATACTTGCATATATAATACCACCATCTATTCACAACTGCACAATTAATATATTATTTTAATATAATTGTAATACACTATTTTCTACATAATGCATAATTTAAATTATGGTTATAAGATATTATCTTTATTTAATGATTATAAGATATTATTTAACTAAGTTAAAATATTATTAACAACTATTTCAGCTAAATTAACAATTGCTTGAATAATAAAAATGATTTGTCATAATTCTTCAGTAATTTCATAATTAATTATTCAATATTTAGTATAATCATTATTTAAAATTTGATAATTAAATGAGTAAAATAATTATAGATATTAATTCAACATAACAAAATATGTACATTCTTAATAATATTTTACATTACTAAAATAATATTAAGTGAAATTTAATCGAATATTACAGGTAGAGTATCTACTCTTATAAAGATCTATAGATAAATTCGCTATAACAGTATAAATGCCTCCACCTTAATTCTTCAGCAGATCTTTAACAGTAAAAAACAAGAAGCTTAGAGAAAACAGCAAGAACCGGAAAAATTGCCAGAGAACAGGGATAAAATCCCAAACCGAAACTTGCTTCAATGTAATCGATCTTCCTTATGTAAATAGGAAAGATATTACCTGCATGTAAGCAAATAACCAAGCATCGCAAAAGGATCAAGCCTCATGGTCTAAATTCCAGCTTCCAACCGACAACTCCTTTCGGTTGTCTTTCTCGCAGAAGAAAGAAGAAAACTAACAAGAGAGACAAGTGAGAAGAAAAAACTCTCTTCAACACACACAAGAAATTCTCCAGATTTCTTAAACTCTCTCTTCTTCCTCCTCACATAAGAAGCTACAAACCAAAACCTAATCCTCTTCTGGCTCCCAGCTCTCAAACCCGAAAAACAGAGAAACACAATTTCCCTTACAGTTTTTCTCTCACGCATGCTTCAAGGCACCTGAAAAGATCTATATATAGGAAAAGACTATATCAGCCCTTATAAGCAAGAATTAAAAGAATGAGGATAAGGATAAAATCCAACCAGTTAATTAATTTAATTAACCGTGTAATTAAATTAATCAACTTAATTTTATTTAAACCACTTTACATCAGGTTGAGATCTCGAGTTTGTCGTACGTGCTTGCTGGGGGGGATACTTTCCCTGCTTTGTATCCCAAAAGTTATTTTTCTCATATAATGCCCATAATAGAGGACAGAACCCAGAGTTATATCTTTCAACATTCGACGCATGTCGTCACTATCAACTCCGATGCTTAGTGTCCTCAATAATATCGATGCACATCATCACCATCAATAAGATCATTATCCTCATCAATGCTAATGACAATACAATGCTTGTCATTACCAAAAAGAATGGAAAACATTATAGATATCAATAGCGATGCATGTTGTCACAAACAAATCTGAGATCATCATCGACATGAACACCAACATTCATCATCATCAAAAATGATCGATGCTAATAATGATGATGCCTATGGTTGACATCAATGCTGACTTATCCCATCACCAACAAAGAAGACACTCATCATGTCATCATCAATATAAATACTAATGTACCCACCAATGACACTAATGACAACTCTTGCTATTGCTAATAAGATTGACACATGCTATCTCCATTGATGATGATACCTATCATCACCAAATAATTGACACCCATTATAAACACAAATGATGATGTTCGTTACTACCAATAAGGAAGATGTCTATTGATGCCAATAAGAATGATGATTGTCATTACCAACACAACTAACCTACATAATTAACACAAATGCTAATGTTTGCCATCATTAATAGGCATGCATTTATCATTGTCAATAAGGTGAATGCCTACCATTTATACCAATGCCAATGCTTATAGTTGCTAATAAAGAGACATCCACTGTCAACACCAACATTGATATTTATCATTAATAACAAAGTCAATGTATGCAATTATTACTAGCACCGATTCTCATCAGCACATATCATCTCAAAATATTACCTACCACCTCATGCCATTGCATGTCATCACTAATAAAGCCTAAGTCTTCCATGACACCAATGATGTTGTTTATTATTGATAATAAGAATAAAGCTAATGTTAACACTAATGCAAATGTATATCCTTACAAATAAGTACATTACTTGCTGTTAACACTAATATTGATGCTCACTATAACTAGTAACCTCACACATATTGTCATTACCAACACTGATGCTTATTATCATAAATAACATCGATGAATTCTTCTCCATCAATACGAGCATCCATCATCACCGATAAGGTTAATGCTTGACATCAACACCAATACTAATAGTAACACTCACAATTACTAATAAGGCTCATGGTTGTTGTTGACATCAACATGGATGCTCATCATCTTCAATAAGGATGAAAACTCATCAATTAGGATAACAACCACCTTCATCACTAAAAAGGATAACACCCCTCATTCAAATTAATACATGTGTCTGTCATTACCAATAAGGACGCCACTCACTAAAAACATCAAGGCCATTGTTTTCATATCCAAGTATGATGCATGCTATTGATACTAATATCTACACTCATCATTGTCAACAAGGTTGAAACATGTAATCAATATCAGCACCAATGCCCATCTCATAAGAAACATTTGCCCTTATCATCAATACCAACACTAATGCTTGTGGAGGCCAATAAGTTAAAATATAACCTAATGTTATTCCCTTTAAGCAAGCACCTTGAAAAATGCTTGCCTTTTCGGTGATGCAGTACAATAATGAGATATTAATGAAAGATAAGGAATAATGAAATATA